ATCCTTAAGTACTTGAAAAGAACTAAGGATCTTTTATTGGTATATAGAGATAGTAGCCTTAGGGTTGAAGGCTACACGGACTCGAGTTTCTAGTCCGATGCCGATGATAGCAAGTCAAATTCGGGGTATGTGTACACCCTGAATGGAGGAACAGAATGCTGGAAGAGTTCCAAGCAAGATACTATTGCTGACTCGACAACAAAGGCGGAGTACATTATTGTAGTAGAGGCAGCAAGGGAAGGAGTCTGGATGAAGAAGTTCATTATAGATCTAGGAGTCGTGCCGAGTAGCGATGAGTCAATTCCCTTATAATGTGACAACAACGGGGCGATTGCTCAAATGAGGAAACCTAGGTCTCATTAGAAGTGTTATGAGGAGGTTCAAGCTTATTAGAGAGATCATGGCCCGAAGAGATATAGTAGTGGAAATAGTTTCATCCGAAGATAACATCGCAAGTCCATTGACAAAGCTGTTGTCTTAAATTGTCTTTGAGCGTTACAGGGGTCTGATAGGGATCAGACACATAGGTGATTGGCTTTAGGTCAAGTGGGAGATTGCTAATCATAAGTGTCTTGCAAGCCAATCATGTGAGTGATGGCACGTGTGACTTGACATGCAGTCTTTTTACTTATTGTTATTATTTGACATTTTATCACTTTATATTGCTTGTTGCTTGAATATATTGTGATGTCCATGAATGTGTGCAATGGGAATCGGATCGTGATGAGATCATGATAATGATAGACGCAGGTTATAGGTTACTCGAGAGGGACATGGTTATATTGTGATATCCTAAATAATCCCGGTTATAGGTTACTCGAGAGGGAATCCGAGATAATCGGACAGACTGGTGTGCTATATACCCGTATATATGATGGACGTAGCTGGTCTTATAGTTGCTTATGTGGGAACACTAGGGATACAGTACAGGTGCTCATTGGAGAATGAGTTTACTGATTGATCCGCTTACGAAATGCTGGATGGTTGATGATGCCTTATTGTCAAACAATAATTTCGTAGTCCTAGTGGTGTATCTGGTCCTTAAACTTAAGACACTAAGGATGTCCTATATGAGTACTCCATTATTTGATACCGAACTTATAGGTCTGGAGGTTCCAGATCTAGCATAGTCGATCATCGAGATTGATAGCCAACCTTACGAGGACTATTGAGTGTCGATAGAGAATCATCCACTCTCAGTACCATGAGAGGAATATCTCATGTGTTCTTAATTAGACAAATCCTTGGCCAGGGTTATTCGGATTGAGAGAGAAAGAGTTCTTCGAGAAAATCCGAGAGAGACTCGAGTAGAAATCGTATGGGTCTGACAGCACCAGGCCTGAAATACGATCTTTGGGATATTAGATAAATGAGGGACTATAGGTACATAGTAACTAAGGACAGACAGGTTCAATGGATTGGATTCCTCGGTATCGTTTGGGGATTACGGTGCAGTGGCCTAGTACCTCCGCAATCGATGAGTCGAGCGAATTATTATGGAGATAATAATTCACTAAGCCAAAAAGAGTTCTGACATGTATGACTCACGGCCAGCTCGATATTGGGCTTACATGGTCACACACATATGGTAGACGTTGCGATAAGTAGAGGTTCAGATATGAGATATCCGTTGGAGCTCATATCTTATTGAATATCCAATAAGCCCCTGAATTATTGGATCCTATGAATGAGATCCAATGAGAGCAAATGAGAGATTATTGGATAGAGATCCACTAATCTAAGAGACTTGGGTAGTTGGATAGAGATCTGATACCCAATAGGGCAAGATCTATTAGGGTTAAGTTGACAGGGGACCTCTATAAATAGGAGGGAACCAATGGTTCATAGACAAGAGCCTTTTTGGGTTGCCTCTCCTATTATCTTCCCATTCTCCTCCTCAAATAGCAGGCTTGGAGTTTTGAGGAGCATTGTCGCAGTCCTGCTGTGTGGATCACCGCTAGAGAAGAGGACACTTGACCTCCTTCACCCTCTCCTAGATATCTATAAAGATTCAGAGATATGCGATCTCCCTAGGTAACACAATCTTTCATATACGCAGTTTTAAGTTTCGTGGTTTTTACACACCAATCTTCACACAACGATAAACAAATCTTTGGAAAATTAAGGATTTTATTTTTAATATTTTTTCATTGCGCATATGATGACACCCATAGATTTCCTAACATTATAGGCCCCAATGATTTTAAAAACGGAGCAAAAAGTGTCTCGTCCCAGTTTTTCGGGGTACTAGCGGTACCACCACCATTACTAGGCGGTACCACCGTCAAGTACTCTGACATTGGACAGTACTACCACCAAGTCTGGCAATACTATCGCCTGACAAAGCCTCGGAGATTGGGCTTTGGTGGTACCATCGCTTGGCAGCATTAACTACCGACGGTACTATCACCCAGTTTGGGTGGTTCCATCGCCCAAACACTTGGAAGGTTGAGCCTGAAGCGGCTCCACCGTCTAGCAAGGCTCCAAGTGGCCGAGTGGGCCTTCCATCCGGCCCATTTCAGTCTTATTTTGGACTCAATTGGCCCCTAACTGAGTTTATGGGATTATCTTCCAATCCTAACTCAATCTTGGTTCTGACTATGATAATTAAACATTAACTAAGCAATCTTTGTCTGATATGTCAATCGTTCTTTCGACGAACTCTTGACAAACTTTCGATAAACTTTTCGGCATTCTTTTGGCGAACTCCCGATGAACTCTTAGTGAACTCCCGACGAACTCTCAGTGAGCTTATGACGAACTCCCAACGAGCTCTCGGTAAACTTCCGACGAACTCTCGGCGAGCTTCCGACACATCGTTCTTATCTTTGACATATCATCCGATCTTTGACTCTAGCTCAATATCTGCTTTATATATTATCCATTATCGTAATTAATCCTACAACACTTATCTCAACATATGAATTAGATCATTTATCAATTAATTTTATCATCAAAATTTGATATTCAATACTAATCGCTTATGAACCAAGGTCCGCTTGAGAGAACATCGATCATCTCCTCTTCGGAGATAAATCGGAAACAAAAGAAACCTGAAGTCATATCAACAATTTCTACACCATGGGAAAGCTCTTAAAGTTTCGTAAAAACAGCTCTGAGCGCGGCCCAAAAACTTAACATAGGCATAGTCTTTTCTTGGTCTCTCTGGCGGTGTTTACCTCCTTAGGATCAAGTTTGATCACTAGATTGGACTTCTTCTGGATGCGTAGCAGGGTGGCTTCACATGGCACTTTGCTACCCTTTTGCGACTCAAGGAACAAGCATGCCCGAGTAGCAGGAAGGGGAGAAGCGAGGGGCAAGGCGCTTCGAGAAGGTCGCGTAGGTGGGTCTGAAGACCTCGCAAGATCATCAGAGGTAATCGAGGTCCTATTGGCAGGGATGGGAGGAGGAGAGACCGAAGAGCTTCTGGGCAAAGAGAGTGGACGAGCAGAATCACCAAAGCTAATGTCGCTCAACCTAGATAGCTGAATATATACTCAAAGATAAACAGGACAACAAGGTTGCAACGGAGTCTTCTCCTTGTTTTGCAACCTGACCCATTCAAGCTGAAGGCTTTGCTATCCTCAATGGGCTAAAGAAAGCACAAACACTCAGGTTACAACAGATTATGATCCACTCATGAACTACATCAACTATGTACATATGATATCTTGGTACCTGTCATCTTTCTACCGAACCACATAGGTCATTGTTAACCGTTTCTCCCAACGCAGCAATGGTGAAGTCCAGTCTTACCATCAGGGGACTCACCACCGATTGAGAAATCAGTTTTTTAATTAATCCTCCAATTCTATAACCATAGTTTATTAAGTAACGCTTACTTTCTGGAGGGGGCGAGAGGGCCCGCTCTCGTTCGGTGAGTGAGGCGGGGCCCGCGTAGGCTTTATTTTTATTGATCCGGTCACCGCAGGAGTACGCGAGGCGGGAACAACGAAAGAAGAGAGAGAGAGAGAGAGAGAGAGAGAGGGGGTGACGGCAGGGACGGTGCGGGTCGGCCGTCCCCCAAAACCACTCATCAATATCTCTGAGCGCGTGGGGCCCACGTCGTGTGCTATTCTCCCATGCCTGCACGTGAACGCATCCTTTGGTCCCCGTCCACAGTTCATGTGCGGCGTCCCAAACGCGTCGCGAGTGCGATCGGGTGCCCACCGCAACAATGGCTACACGCATCCGAATCGTCCATATTGGAATCAACGGCTCGCACTCCTGCACTTTCGCTCTGTCGGGTACCCCGGGCAAATCGCTCCCTCGCCCTGCGTTCCTGTGACGAGCATGCAGATGCCCGTGTGCGCGCTCGCACGTGCAAGTGATGAAGATGACCTGATGGCGGCAAATGACAACTGGCACGCGCCCTTCGGATGCAAAGCTGGACCCCATCCGTGAGCTCCGCAGCAATCTCGCAGACAATTGCACCTGTGAGGTCGTGCGCAGTCTCACCGACGCGTGTCTCTCAGATGGGCAGTCGGGAGGTCCACAAGCAGGTTTCATCGACGCGTGCCGACGCCACATGGGTGCGTCGCACAACCGCTTGTTGTCCCGGTCGCCTCTTCTTCTTTGTTAAAGTACTCGTTCAGCTTTTCGACGCCAGACATGGGCCGTCGTTTCCTCCTCGTTACGTTATCGACGCATTGCAATCAATAACTAGTCGAAAATACCCTCGTAGAAAAGGCCGTACACAGTTCCGTACTTCGTTATGATTTTTCACATTTTTAAATATAAGTTTATTCATCCATGAAATTTGCGAAAGCACAATGTCGGAATGAGCGGGTCAATTCGCCGGAAAACACTTTCCTGGATAATGGGTCCTTAAAATGACGAAAACGACCCCCATGCTTTTCTATTTGCACTCGCGAAACAAAGCAACGACAACGAGATCAGACGGTAATTCTGTCCATCAAGCCGTATATTTCCTCTCCCGTCCACTCCGCACGTGCGAACGCCGAGTCAACTTGCAGTCGAGCAGCGTGCAGAGTCCCTAATTAGGGTGTTCTCCCCCTTTTCCTTTATTTTCTTTTATTTTTAGGCCGGTAAATTAGCGTTTGATTAAACCTTTACAAACAGCAAGAGAGATGAAAGAAAATGTCACGAAAGGAAAAAAAAAAAAAGATAAGTAACATAACAAAAACGGAAAAAAGAGAAGCTCGAAACGGATGGGGGGCGAGCGATCCTGGTAGTCGGTGATGTACATCACATGGGAGGAGGGGGTAGATTGAGATCGAAGCAGAAGCGCTTCTTCTCCTTCGCCGCCTCCTGCTCTTCTTCCTCGACCCTTGTCATCATCATCTTCACCGCCTCGAACCCGTATCCGGAGAATTTAGACCCCCTCGCCACTGCCACCGCGGGAGGCCTGAGGAACAGATCTCGCCCGCTCGGAGCTGACGCCGGATCCGGGAAGCTCAGTTGCCACGGCGACGCCATCCTCCAGCCGATCTGCGGTGACGGAACGGCAGCGGAACACCCGAAGTTGGTCTTCGCCTTGGGGCCTCGGAGGCTGCGCGCCGCTGCGTCGTAGGCCCGCGCCGCCTCCTCCGCGGTGTCGAAGGTCCCCAGCCACTTCCTCGTCTTCTTCCACGGGTCCCGTATCTCCGCCGCGAACCTCCCCCACGGTCGCTTCCTCACCCCACGGAAGCGCTTCTCCTTCCCCAATTCCGCCATCGTCGCCGCCGATTCCTTCCCTCCAGCTGCCTCCGCCGGCGCCAGAACGGTTCCCTCCATTGTGGGCCGCAACGTTTCCACCAACATCACCGAAGCATACAGAGAGGGCTAGATGTGGGTGGGTGGGAAATTTATAGTACCACCGAGTCTCCATTCCGCCCGACACAAATTTATCCTCATAAGTATAGTTTATTCTCAAGTCATCAACGTTTTATCGCGAGCTAAGGTGCATTTATTGGACGGTGGTGATTTCCCAGATCGATCAGACGGCTGGCGACGCAAGCAACCACCGAGTGGCTTATAAAATGATTCGGTGCCGCACGTGCTTCTCTTGTCGCACCTCGTTACTCTTTGTCATACCGAATGGTGGAGGTGGCTTCCGTTTAATGGCATGTGGGCCATCACGCCGTGGGCAATAACAAGGAAGGTAGAATATTCGTGTCACATAATCGAGTAGATAAGGAACTGTTCTTGTAAGATAACTGGGGACAGTCTCCGTACGAGCAAACGCATGGACCACGACTCAGTCCCGGTGGACGGTTGCTGACGAACCAAGCGGCTCGTGAATCGCGGACACGTCCCCATCGCGACGACCGGGAGGTGGTCCCCTTTCCTTGGACCACCTGCGTCGCCACGTGCTGTGGTAGGCTCCATGACGTTTTTTCGTAAACACTGTTACAACTCTCTCTCGAAAGAGCAAACTCAGTTGTGGCGTGGCACCATAACAGGGGAGGAAAGTGTATCGCGGGGTGGGTGGGGTTGTAACGGGCGTATGTGTGCGGAATTAAAGGTATGAAAAGGGTGGGTGGCCGGTGTGGGGGTGGGAGGGGGGGGGGGGGTTCTATAAAGGTCGCTTAGACGGCGCCGGCAGATCGCGCACATTTATGGTGGCAGGTAATCAGGGTGAAGTTCTGCTGTCCTGTGGATAACATAGTACAAGAAACACACCCCCGAATGCCAATCGTGGTTGGTTGGTGAAGGAATAAACTGCCGCATTGGTGCGCTCATGTGGGTCGTCTCCCTGATTTCTGTTCTCACCAAGACAGCCAAGGAAAGGAGTAGATATAGAGAGAGGGGGCGTGTCGGTTGATGGCAATAAGAAACAACCCAAAGACGTGACTTGTCGGCCACAATGCCGATGGCCCCCATCTCTGCTTGTTCTTATTCCTATGGCCCAGGTTCTAAATTCTTCTATGGCAAGCTTGCATGCTTTGGCACCGTCGACTCTTATCGTTCATTTTCCTCCCTGCTATAGATAGTGCTGCTTAAGGAAGCATGGACGGGTATTTTGTTCATACTTAGCCGACGGTGGGCCATGTGCCACAGCACACAATTGAAATTGTCCTTTGTGTACCTACCTTCCCAGCGTCGTTAAAGAGTGTAATTATGTTCGCCAGAAGCGGAAGCCTGGCAGTCAAACTTCCCGGGATATGATGGGAGTGGGATTTGGAGGTTACGAAAGATCAGATGTCGAGCCTGGAGTAGCGAAGACAGTGGTCTCCGTCAGCTTGATCAACACGTGCATCTGTTGTCAGAGATTAGATGGAAAAGCTGAACCCCGCCCTGTCCAACACAGCATTAGAAAAGAAAAAGCGGACGAAAAAAGAGACTACGCACGCGTGCTATGGATCTCCCCGCCGTTGTCGCGAAATTACTATTTTACCCTTCAGTTAATTCCACGGGGAACCGTGTGCTACTACCATCGATGTGACCGAAAGGTAAGCGCGTTGATGACGCCGACCGAATTGCCTCGATCTTGACCGCGTTGCCACTTCCCTTTCGAAATAAAAATCAAAGCGGAAAAGTGAGAGTACCAACGAGGCAGATTGACGTTGCGATCACCGTTGATTAGTTGTTTGTGACGTCGTCATTGATCACTGACGTTGCATCCTAGTCTTCGATCAATAAAATAAAATTATACCGATCATCCCATCATATGTCAGTGTCCACAACGTTTTTGCATGTCGAACGGGCGACGTTCGAAACAGCGACGTGACGCGCTGGACAAGTGACACGTTGAGACAGTAATATGACATCCCGTGGTCTATATCGGTGCAGCTCGGGCGGACTAAATCGGGTTAGGTCCAACCGACGAATCCAATTTCTTTGACCAAAACCCGATCTCATTCTGTCAAGGTGATCTCGTTCACTCAAGATTAGATTAGACAGTGATTGGACCTATCCAAATATATATACAAAACAACGTGGGCGGTGGAAGTGCAGCAGAGGCACTTGGGCTCGTAGTAAATTAGACGGTGTGAGCCTCGGTCAATATCGGACGTACAAAGGCTGGTGCCTGGCAATATACACATGACAACAGTCCAAGCGAGAGGAGACGTATAGGTAATCAACCGTAGGGCACGAGAATTAACCTTTTCTAGCCTCATACAGGGTTTTACATATCAACCATTCGTGGGCTATGGTTGCCCATGAAAGGCTGGAGTTTGACTCGTTGCAGAAGTCTCACCCCTTGCAGCAGTCCTATTTTTAGGCATAGGAAAAGATGAGATGGGACACATTGAGCCCTTCCTTGCCATTAAACTTAACTTCGAATAGGGTCTTGACTTGTGAAAACCTCAACAGTTGTCCGAATTTTTATTCTTTGTCCCCTTCTGATTGTGTCTAGTTAATGTTGGTGTTGATTTGCGCAGTTGTCTACCATTTTGAGTTTTTTTCTTAGGTGTCTTGGGAGTGATATGTTCAAGATTCCTGGGCAATAGTTTTTACAAAAAGATAAATGGTGAACGTAAGATTTTGTCCAAACACCTTGCAATTAGAATCAAAGACAAAGTCAGATGTCACTCTGACGACTTACAATTGGACGATTCCATACGCCGGAGAAGTAATCTTTTTACTTGAAGATAATCTAAGTAGAACAAAAGTAAAAAAAAAATGGGGGGGGAGGGGATGTGACGACTCTATTAGCGATGTCATATGTAATACCCATAATTAAGCTTGTAGACCAAACTATAATTATAATATTCAGAAAGGGATTTTATGTAAAAGAAACGCTAGGTGTAACTTGTGACCTCTGTGAATCGGGTGCAACAACAAAAGGTGCGTCCGATAGAGCTGGCGGCATCCGAACATTCTCAAAATTCCTACACCGAGCTAGCATTCCTCTAAAAGCTTGGGTAACCTCGGTGCAACAATCCGTGGTCGAGTGGAAACACAACATGGGCCCTAACATTCACCACGATCGTGCCCATGTCCAACTCCATTAGCACCTCCATGAGTACATTATTAAAGTTCACACATTATGATTATTTCAACATTATGTAGATTATCACTTAGTTTCAAATTTCAATAGGTCATTTAACCATGCAGCATGACACCATAAAAGTTATATCATTATCTTACAATCCAATTTAAAATTTATAATAACTTGCTTGTGAATACAAACATATAGGTGATCACTTGTAGATATATCGTATAACTTAATTCATTTTACGATGTTGATGTTCTCAACAATTTTAAACAATACATTTCAGGATAAACATGACAAATAATTTAATTTTTTAAAGAGAGATAAAATGAGCAACAATGTGCAGTATTAGTATAAAATTTATATTACTGGGCATGTAAATATCACATCAAATAGTTGGATATGATGAGATCATGATAATTTTATTCATAGGTTACTCGAGAGGGACATCGAGATAATCAGACAGACTAGTATACTGTATACCCGTCCATATGATGGAGGTAGCTAGTCTCATAGTCATTCGTGTGGGGATACTAGGGCCATACAAATTGATCCGCTCATGGAATATTGGATGGTTAATAATACCTCATTATTAGACAACGATTCTGTTGTTCCAATGGTGTATCTAGTCTTTAGACTTGAGACATTAGAGATATTCTATATAAGTACTTCACTCTTTGATTCCAGATTTATAGGTTTGAAAGTTTCATATCTAGTATAGCCGGTTATCGGGAGTGACAATAAACCTTATGAGGGCTATTGAGTATCGATAGATGATCATCCACTCTCGGTGTCATGAGAGAAATATCCTATGTGTTCTTACTCAAACAAATCCCTGGTTAGGATCATTTAGATAAAAAAAAAAAGAGTTCTCTAAGAGAATCCTATTAGAGCGAGATTCGAGTATAAACCATATGGGTCTGATAGCACCATGTCCGGCATATGGTCTCTAGGATATTAGATGGATGAGAGACTATAGGTACACAGTAATTAAGGACAAATAGGTCCAAAGGATTGGATTCCCTTATATCATTTGGGGGTTGCAGTGTAGTGGCCTAGTACGTTCATAATTGATGAGTCGAGTGAATTATTATGAAGATAATAATTCACTGAGTCAAAAGGAGTTTTGAAAGGTATGACTCATGGCTAACTTGATATTGGGTCCAAAGGGTCACACGTATATGGTAGGCATTGCGACGAGTAGAGGTTCGGATATGAGATATCAATTAGAGCCCCTATCTTATTGGATATCCAATAAGCCCCTAAATTATTGGATCCTATGGATGAGATACAATAAGAGCCAATAAGAGATTATTGGATAGAGATCTACTAATCTAAGAGGCTTCGGTAGTTGGATGAAGATCCAATACCCAATAGGCAGGATTCATTAGGGTTAAGTTGAAAAAGAGCCTCTATAAATAGGAGAGAACCAAAGGCCCATAGGCCAAAGGCTTCTTGGTTGCCACCTCCTATTCTCCTCTCCCCTTCTCCTTAGATAGCAAGTATAGAGATTTAGGTAGCGATTTGAGGAGCGTCGTCGTAGCCCTATTGTATGAATCACCGCTAAAGAGGAGGGTGCTTGACCTCCTTCGTCATCTTCTACAGAATTGTAGAGATTCAATGATACACAATCTCCCTAGGTAAAACACAACTACCTCATATATAGATTTAAGTTTCATGGATTTTTGTACACCAATCTTGGCATGACAACGAACACCTTTTTGAAAAATTTAGAGTTTTTATTTTCTGTTCTTCTATTGCAAATATGATGTCACCCATAGATTTTCCTATAGTAATATCAGAGCTGGGTTGTTCGTGCAAAAGATTGATTTTGAACTACGTGTGTTGTGTTTTAGAAAAGCTCTTGACGTCAAAATTGTTAACGAAAAAGGTGAGAAAGAGCAACAACTGTTGTTGCCCCTGTAGGTTAGCCAAATGTTGCTTGCAGCCTTAGCCGAGAG